CATACATATACATAATTCCTAACAAATTAAAATGAGAATTAACAGAGAAAGTGAGGGGAAAAGTCCTACCATGTTTATTGACTACGTAGTGGACAAAGGAGAAGACATGAGGAACCAAGTCATGGGAATGAATTGGCAGGGCCAAGGATTTGGCTTGTTGCTGCATCTTAACCATTCTGATTAAGTCACCGACCCAGAATTTATATGGATCAGCCTCAAGACCTTGACGTCTCAGAGCTGTCTCTAGCCTCTTTGGATTTACCCATAACCACATCGTCATCTTCCAACCCCATCTTATCACTATTATCACTCCTATTATTGCACCTACCACTCCTGTTATTTCTGATGCTTCCATCATAGATCTCTTTCTCTCCTTCCCCCTCCTCCTCTGCTTATGTGAGAGAGAGAGAGTGTATGTATATATATATGTTTTTGTATATGTAAGAATCTCACAGTAGAGAAAAGAGCAAGTGAAAGAGAACAAGTTGTATTATTGAATTATCAGAAAGCCTTCATGCCGGCCAAAGCAGGTTCTTCTTCTTCTTGTTTTTTTTTTTTTTTTTGGTTCTAGGAATTGATCTTCTCTCTCGCTGTTCACTTTTGAGATGTTTATATCTAAATTAATTACGTTGAGATAGCAAAAATAGAAATAATTTCATTTTGGCACACCGACAACTGAAATATTAATTTGTCGATGGGAACTAGAGTGATTTAAAAATACTATAAATATATGTATTTTAAATTATATATATTTACCTTAATTATAAAAAACAAAAGTCAATTTGATTGACATTACCTATAGGATTGTCAAAATTATCGATGGCAACCAAAACAGAGTTAGATCTAATAGAAAGGGTTAACTCCACAATGCGGTGCACTAAAGTTAGAATTCTTATTAGGTGATGTGTTACAGGATTGTCTCTAATAAAAAAATACCTTTGCCTATTAAAAAAAATCGTGGATTTCATAGGACTTGCGGAGTAAATTATCATTTGGATTCATCCTGATGGTGGGTAGTAAATTATTATATATCATGCGAACACGAATATAACCCGATTTATTTTTTCCTATAAATATTGAGTGGATCGAAGTTAAAAAATTAAGCGATGACAACAAGAGAAACTTTTAGTAAACGAACAATATTAGAAAATGAGAGAAAATAAGCACTTAACAAACAAAGTGAAAAAAAAAAGGGGGAAGAACTTCGCATAGTTAAAAGAAGTCACAAGCTAAACAAACAATAAATAGCCAGAAAGTCTTTCAAACACGCATTATTGCTTCAAATTAAATTGTGACGCCCATTGACACAACTGCAAGCACGCACTTGAACATCATCGGCCTTGCTGAGAATTATTTATTTATAATTTATCAGTTCCCTTTCTTGAAGTTCTTCGAGCTCTTCATCAGCATCTTGTGTTTGAAACTTGAAGACGATTCTAAGATTAGGGTTTGCACTTGTCAGAGTCGTCACCCTTTCTGTGTAAATGTCCTGGCTACATATAATCGTAATCCTCTCTAGTTTGTTTCCATTTGTAACAATGTACTTTAAGAATTCAAATTCTTGATCGTAGACCTTGAAACCTCTCAAGGAAACGAACTTTAATTGGTTCTCGACGTAATCATAGGCATCTTGACGCTCCCAGAAACTACGCATATATTTCAATCCTTCAACAATGGCCTGTAAAAACAGAAATAAGTTATAAATTATCATATTCGTTGAACAGATTTTTTTCATGGTTGTATATTTATATCATTGCACACTTTGATAGCATACCGGTAAAGTGATTTCAGGAGTTTCCAGAACGGTGCATATACTCAAGAAACACATCATTTGAACACACTCGTACATCATTTAGGTCCAAATCAATTCAAAGTTTTGACAAAGTCTGCAAAATATTGCTCCTAGAACCCTACAAAAAGTGGAAAAGAAGACACACTTAGCACCACACCGCACAAAATTTACAGAAACAGAAAGACATAACGACAGTCTAGTTATTTCATTAACTTACCGAAAAAAGCTGGTAATGACAAAGAAGGTGGCTGGCATGGAGAACGGGTCTCCTTGAAGCTGAAGAAAGCTTTGATCCAAATATCGCCTGGTTGTAACAATGGATAACCCTAAGGCTTAAAGAATAAATTTTCATACGATGGGGGGAAATGATAGTATCAAGGAGTAAAACTTCAAGCCTCTCAGCAAAAACGACTATTTTTGCAAGGATCAAAGCATTCAGTTGCAGAACTTTCAAATTGGGATTATGGATTTCAAACTTGCTAAACCCATAACACTCAAGGAGACAAATATTCTCCAACCCCCTACAGTTCTTCAGAATCGCATCGAGAGTTTCATCATCAATATTCACACCCTTCAGAATCAAAGTTTTCATCAGATTCTCACATCCCTCAAATGGATTTGAAGTACGCAGTGTGTAGTACATGAGCTGGAGTGAACAAAACCCCGAGAAAATCCCCGTTGGAAAATTAGGTTTGGAAAGTCTCTCAGGACCTGGTAATTGTTTAAGACAATTTTGGTTGGTTCCTACGTCAAAAAACGAAGACTCTAGGCTTAAATTTTTCACATTCTTTCCCCTTGCATATATTAAGCAGGTCACAACTTCCTCACAAAGGATACTATATGTAAAATGGGTGAATCGGCAACTATGCAAATCACTAGAGTGACTAACCAAAATAGAAGAGATCGTCGGGCCATAACACGAGGCTTATGTTCATGACATGACTAAGAGTGGAATGAGGATCATTGGCTTCTTCAGGGTTTTGTTTTTGAGCTAAGGGCATAATCATACGCCTCCCCTACAATCTCAAGATGTGTATTGAATCGCCATAGTCCCCTCCATCTTTTTGCAAGCACACTGGTTCTCACGGCTTCATCTATAGGAAGAACGCAGATAATGAGGCACAAGAGATCATCTGGGAGTTGGCTTATGATATCTGGGTTTTCAGAAGCCAGGTTGGGCTGGGTTGTTGATGATGATGATCCAGTCATAGACATTTTTTGGGGAGTGAAGTGTGTGCCAAGAAATTCTGCGTTTGAGTTGGTTTTTCTCTCAGAGAAGGTTTGGAGAGAAAACAAGTTCTGAGATTGGAGAGTGAGGGAAGAAGAAAGAGCAGCTAATTATATATAAATCAATCTGCCCGTTATCTTTGTGTATGAATGAGATGGGGGTCGCATGTGGACTGATACAGTAATATATTGTCTGTCTTAATACTATTCATTTCTGGTTTTATTAATTGGTTTTAAATTCAATGAGCTAATTATCTTTTTCTTCTGAGAAGGATCAGAAAATCCTCGTCTTTTTTTTTTTTTTTCCAAACCAAATATTTTCTGTTCCTTCTGTGAGTAATTTTACTAAAAAGGTCCTTGAAAAAGATATTTATTTCTTTTCTAACATACTTACCCTGTATATATGATTTTATTCATTCTAGTTAAGTAAAATCCAGTAATTACTGATTAAGATATCTGATTTTATTTTATACAAATTAGTGATCATCTGGCCCCGTGTTTAAGAAAAATGTGTCTGGTTTTAACAAAAGGCGGGTTTCAAAGTACATTGTTTTTCCTATTACACTGGGTACATGGTCTTCTTATTATTTATGTATGAGAAATTAATGCACAGGATTTGGTCAGAATGAATGTATTAAAAATACTAGATCCTAAACTTGTTTTCTATGAATTATACACACCCAAAAAAATATTTTGTTTTTATTATTTGAACCTTGCTCTTACTAATGCTTCCCTTTTTTGATTTGCCAAGATGATCAGCAGCGCTAAGACTCATTAATTAGTTAATTATTGAGGAAATTACTCTGATATGCTTTTATTTAATTAATTTAGCCTTATATTTATATTAGATTATGTATATATGGAGTTAAAGTTAATTGAACAAATGGTTACGTTAACGTTAACGCCACCTCCAAGAACCATGTTTTATTATGTGATGAATTCACATGATACAACATAGATTTTGGAGAGTGGACCCCAAGTTTGTTTCCTCGTCAAGCGAGCGCATAATTTCGTCGTTGTATAAAAATGGAAAAGAATTTATATCAAGGATAAAAATAATTAGACAGCTTAAGTTATCTCCTCCATCATTCAAAAAAATTTAAAAAAACAGAAATAAAGAGAGAAAATATGAGTTTAATTAAACTGTACGTGGGCCTTTAGTCACATTTTGCTGACCACTATAAGAAAACGGTTCAACCTTACATCGATAAAAGCATCTTTGATTTTACGTTTATATCAAAGTAAACGAAAAAACATGTGAAAAGAAACGTTAAGAAAGAGGCAAACATACATTTGATAGGTAAAGGGGAAAAGTGTTATAAGTTTGTTTCCAAGCAAAAGGTCCTTCAAGTATGCAAAATTTTTAATTATAATATCCTCTTGTTCTAAATATAAGATCTACTTTATAATACAAATTATATCAAATCTTATATTTAGAATCAGAAATTATACTACAAACTAATTTTATATTTAGAACTGAGGATAGTATAAAGCTAATGGTATTATTGTATGAAAGCTCTTGTATAAGTAAAAAATCGTGAGTTTGATCTCATTAGTAACTTTCTGCTATTAGCAGTATCTACAATTTAATATATGTATGTGTATGTATATATAAAATTTGTGCAGCAAATTCTATCAAAATAACTGTATAAAATTAAAATATTGGCCCCAAAGTACTTATTTCTTTTTGAATTCGTCAAGATGAGCAGCACTAAAACTCATAAATTATCAAGGAAATGACTAGATACTTCTATTTAATTTAGGTTTAGACTAGCAGATATGATAAATTTAGCATTAATTGAACAATTGTTTGCATAATATATACCACCCAAAATGCACAACTAAAGCAGCGAAACACATAAATAACAATATATATTTCAAATAGGGTTTTTTAGGTGACTATCACCATTTCAAACACACAAACTACTACATACGAACTGAGATGTAGATAACATTTAGTAACAAACCCAGAACCTGAGAACTATTTATAACTTATCAGCGCTCTGCCTTGAAGTTCATCGATCTCTTGTACAGCACTACGTATTTTGAACTTCAAGATTATTGAGAGATTTGGAGAAGCACTTCTAATAGCCATAAGCCTTTGTTCATCGATAGTTGCTTCGCTGCATATTATAGTAATCCTCTCCAACTTCCTGCCTTCTGCTATGATGAACCTTAAGAATGCAAATTCTTCATTTTTGCCTTTGAATCCTCTCAAATATACAAACTTCAGCTGGTTTTGGACACAGTCACAAGCATTTTCGAAATTCCAGTAACTAGATCCGTCCATAAAATTATCACTAGGAATAACCTGTAGAACAGAAAAGAGTTATATAATAAGCGCACTCTCTGATCAGAATCATAATACAGTAATCTGGACAGTCTATAAAATTTATAAAAAGTTGCAGTACTATTTATATGTCATAAATAGCATCGGTCAGACTCATTATAAATTATGAGTCTACAGTCGATTCATACATTTGACTTTAATCGAGGCCTTTCTAAAAGTAGTAAATGGTTGCACAGAAAATATCTCTTCCCCACCCCCGCAAGACATTCCTTCCACATAAGTTGTCTTTTTAGAATCATACTCGTATACCAATGATTCTAACATCAGTCGTTGGATTATTAAGACTTACACAATTCCAAAAGCTATAACATTATTTTTTACTTAACCACATAGACCCAAACATTATGTTTCTAGTTTCACTCTAATCTCTTGCTTAACCTTGTAAAGACAAGATGTTACGTTGGCTATAATATAACCCACCAATTAGAGTGGATTATGTATAATATATTAAAGTTTGCTTTTAAATGAATATGCAATGTTATAAGGCACAATGGACACCAAGATAGGGTTAAGTAGAAACCTCGAGGCACTCTCTTTCATGAGTTTATAGGTAAAATGAACAAATTGAACATAATAGAATCGAGAGGAAACTTGATATCATCACATACCGGTAAAGTTATTTCAAGAGTTTCCAGACAAGTGCATGATCTCAAGAAAGCTGTAAATAAAATGCACTGTACTGCATCATTCAGGTCCATATCAATTGAAAGTTTGGACAAAGTCAACAAAATATTGCTCCCGGAATCCTACAAAGTGAAGAAAATGAAGACTTGGTTAATTAATTAGCACCGACCACACAAAATTAATATATGCAAAACAGAGAGACGTCACAGAACTACGATTTAGCTTACCCAATAATAACGGAAGTTGAAAAGAAGACTGAAAGCCTTGAGGACGGTTCTCTCTTGATCTAAAGCAAGTACTGATCCCAATGTTGAGTGGTTGTAACAATGGATAACCCTAAGGCTTGGGGTATAAAGTTTCATACTTCCCGGAGAAGTGATAGTATCAAGGAGAAAAACTTCAAGCCTCTCAGCAAAAACAAGTATTTTTTCAAGGACCAAAGCAATCAGTTGCAAAACCTTCAGATTGGGATTTTGAATTTCAAAGTTGCTAAACCCAGAACACTCAAAGAGACATATATTCTCCAACCCTTTACAGTTCTTCAAAATTCCATCGAGGGTTTCATCATCGATGTCCACATTCTTCAGAATCAAGGTTTTCATCACATTCTCGCATCCCTCAAACGGTTTTGAAGTACGCAGATCGTAGTGAATGAGCTGAAGTGAACAGAATCCCGAGAAAATCCCCGTTGGAAAATTAGGTTTTGAAAATCTCTCAGAAGGTGGTAAATGTCGAAGACAGTTTTGGTTTGTTCCTATGTTATAAAGCTCACACTCTATGCTTACATTTTGCACATTCTTTGGCCTTATAAATCCAAGCCAGGTGACGACGTGCTCATGGAGGATACTATATGGAAAATGGATGAACCGACAACTTTGCAAGTCACCAGAGTGAAAAAACAAAAAGGAAGCAATCGTTAGACCATGGAGATCCATGCGACGATTCAAGAGTTTACCAAGTTCTGAATAGGGACGAAGTGCTTCGTAAGGGTCTTCTCTTTGAGCTAAGGGCATAATCATGCGTCTCGCTTCAAACTCAAGATGGGTATTGATGGATCGCCACAATCCCCTCCATCTCTTTGAAAGAACATTCGTCCTTGCAAGTTCGTCGATTGGAAGAAGAGAAAGGATGAGGCACAAGATTTCATCTGGGAGTTGGCTTATGAAATCAATCTGCCTGGCCTTGGTTCTTGATCTGGTCATAATCATTTTGGTGGAGTGGTGAGAAGAGAGTCTAGAAATTCTGGGTTGAAGTGAAAGTCCAGAAGAGAGAGCTTTGAGAATGGGAGAGTGTGAGAAGAAGAAGAAAGGAGAAGTTGACTTTATAAAGCAATTAACTTGTCCGTTATCTTTCTGTTCATGAATGAATTGAGGGTTGCATCTAGACAGCTGCAAATTGTCTGTGGTCATACCATTAATTATATTTTCTGGTTTTGGTAATTGGTTTAAAATTTGAGTTAAATGTTTGCTTTTAAGAGTGATCAGATTTTTTTTTATTCAAAACAATATATTTTTCTGTTACTTGTACGAGTGAATTTTTTTTCTGTTTGCAAAGTTCATTAAAAAAAATAATACTCATCTGGTCCTTAATATAGGACCCAATTCTTGAGTTGGTTTTGGTCCTAAATATAAGACCCATTTCTTATATTTATCAATTTTCTCTAAATTATCCATATAGATACTCTCTCAACCATAATCAAATAGAAGAGGGAGATGGGGTATTAAGAAAGATGATTATGATATTTTGAGAAAAATACGTCACTTTTCTTATAATTAACTAACTTACCTAACTTCTTTAATCTAGCCAAATTAGTTAAATGGGTCTTATATTAAGGATTGGAAGAGTAATAAACACTTCCCTGCAATTTCTGATGTATATCATTGTATCTTTTCTGAAGTGAGTGCACATTCATTCTAATTAATTTAAAATCAGGAATTATTAATTAAGACTATCTAATTCTCTTTTATATAGATTAATATAGTAGATATTCATCATCTGACATTGTATTTTTTTTTTTTAAAAAATACCATGTCCGGTTCTGGTTCAGAAACAGTTTTCAATATACATGCAACTCTTTTGGGTACACAATGTATACATGGTTTTCTTCATTTTCTTGAGGATATACTTGCATTAATGTACCAGATTCTGAGTAATTATATTAAAAATATTTGGTTCAAAGTATTTAACTATTTGTTTCTTTTTAGCTTTTTTTCCCTGAACCTTCCTATTTTCACTTTTTCTGGTTTGCCAAGATGAGCAGGCAGCAGCTGTAAATTCATAAATAAATTGTGAAATGCGCACGATTTCGGCATATATCCAAAAGGAAAAAATTCTATTAAATAAAAAATAATTTTGCCTAAAGTTCCATTCCCCGTTATTTATTTATTTTTAAAACAGCTTAATATGGTCTAATTTTATTGATTTATTGATCATCATGGGGGAAAAAAAAGAAAGGCGTGTTTCGTTTTGCGTTTGTTTCAATACAAATGGGAAAAAAATTATGAACAGTAACAATAACACAAACCATTCGTTTAAAGTGACTGGTGAAATAATCATGTTAGAAGTTTGTAATTTCTGTTCTACTACGACATTTTGTGTTTTGAAGCTAAGATACTATTAGCGGCAAAATATATTATTGGATCAGTAAAGTGGATATTCATATCCACTATCTAGGATATAATCTTGTGCTTTCTTAATATATACTATGTAATGATTTTGGCCAAAATCGGTCTTCAGCATATACACATGTTTTTTTTTTTTTAACACAACGTACTTAGTTTTTGTCTATGCGTGTGTGTGTATGCAACATTTTGCGGGATTATATATATATATATATATATATATATATATATTACTTGCATTGACGCCAGATCGATTCTGAGTTATTATATTAAAAATATCTTGCTAATATTTTCCTTTTGTAGTTTGCCAACATGTCTTTGTATTTTAGGCAGACGAGTTAATGGATATATGTAAAGAGGAAACATTTCTAGAAGGAAGTGTCTTGATATATTCTTATTTGCCTAACCTCTTTTGCACAAGGTTTTGATATGGCAGAATGAATAATTACAGTATTAAACTCAGAAATTAATTATGAGAAAATAACTATCTGCTTTTATTTCAGATTTAGATTAGATAAAAAGATGAAGTAAACATTAACTGAAAATTTTTGCATAACGCAGTAGTAATAAAATTCACATGCTATTAGCATCTCAAACACAAACAAATTAATTAACCAGCACTTGTCACAAACCCGGAAAATCATTATTCAAAGTCATTGTACCAAGTACTTATATGAGTTTCTACACATTATGACACCAGTCGACACATATGGCTGGAAGCTCTTGATGAGAACATATACTGACTTGTTGAGAATTACTTGTATTTTATGATCTCCCTGCGTTGAAGCTCAGTGGTCTCATCTAGATCTCTATGTATTTTGAACTCCAAGATGACGGCAACATTAGGGGAAGCCTTTTTCAGAGCCATGAGCTTCTTTGCATTGATCTTTTGCCTACATATAACAGTAACTCTCTTCAACTTCCGACCTTTTGTTATGATAAGTTTCAAAAATTCATACTCTTGGGTATTCCCTCTGAATCCCCTCAAGTAGACAAACTTCAACTGGTTTTTGATAGGATCACAAGCACGTTGACGTTCCCAGTAACTATATCTATCAATCATATTTCCATCGGGAACGGCCTGTAAATTGCAGAAACAAGTTATAAAGTAACATATTTGCTGAACAGATTTTTCATTTTTGTTCATTGATGTACAGATACATACCAATATAATAATGCACACTCTGATCATAAGCATGTATAACGCAATCATGAAGAAAGAAAAATATATCCACATCTATATACACTTCGTAAGAGTTTACAGTCCTATTTACAAGTTATAAGCAATATCCCTTATGATTTTAGACTCTGTAAATTATGAGCTCACAGTCTACTTAACATAAAAAAGAATTTTGAAACGGGACAACAATTATTACATCAAAAATTTGCTAATAAGGTGTAAGTCAGTGCATATATACTACCTAATCACAAACTCTAAATATATGTTTCATTATATTTGACCCCTTAATTAGAAGGGCTTGTCAAGGCAGCATATTAGTCACACACACTAACGTTATCTTTTGATTTCATTTCACTCTAATCTCTTGCTGAACCTTGTAAAGACAATAAGATAGAGGCTAGATAGACATCTTAGTATAAGCCACCAATGGGAGTGAACTATAATATGCAAACGTTTGCTTTCAAGTGAATATGCAATGTTATATGGCTAAATTTGACAATAACCTAGAGTTAAGTAGAAACCTTAAGGCAATCCCTTTCAAGGGTTTACAGGGTGCAACGAACAAACTGAACACAATAAAATGGAGAGGAAACTTGATGTCACATACCGGTAAAGTTATTTCAAGAGTTTCCAGACGAGTGCATAATCTCATGAAGCATACAAATAAGTGACACTCTATTGCATCATTCAGGTCTATATCAATTGAAATTTTTGACAAAGTCAGCAAAATATTGCTCTCAGAACCCTACAAAGTGAAAATGAAGACATGGTTAAAATTAGCAGCATCATATATATAATATAGTACAAAACAGAGAGACATCATAGAAGCACTGTTATTTAATTTAACTTACCCAATACCAACGGAAGTAGCCAAGAAGATCGTAAGCCTTGAGAAGGTACCTCCCTTCAATGTAAGCCGTCACTGATCCGACCATCGAGTGGGTGTAACAATGGATAGCCCTCAGGTTTAGGGAATAAAGTTCCATAATCCTCGGATCAATCAAAGTATCAAAGACCAAAACTTCGAGCTTCTCAGCAACAAGAACTAATTTCTCAATTTTCGTAGCATACAGCTGCAAAACCCTCAAATTGGGATTATGGATTTCAAGTTTTAAATACCCACCAGCGGTACACTGATCCAGACAAAGATTCTCCAAACGCTGACAGTTCTTCAAAATTTCATTCAATGTAGTATCATCGATATTCACTTCCCTCATAATCAAGGTTTTCAGATTCTCGCATCCCTCGAATGGTTTTGAAGTACGCAGATCGTAGTGAACGAGCTGGAGTGAATACAATCCCGAGAAAATCCCCGGTGGAAAATTAGGTTTCAACAATCTCTCATGTTCGCTTAAAAGGATAAGCCGGGTTGTTCCTATGTCAAAAACATCACTCTCTAGGCTTAAAAATTTCACATTCCTTCTCTTTAAAAGTCTGAGCCAGGTCACAACTTCCTCACAGTAAATACTATATGGGAAATGGAAGATTCGGCAGCTGTGCAAATCAGTAGAGAGACGAAGCAAAACGGTAGAGATCGCCAGACCATACCTCACGATTCTTCTGCAGAAGGCATTCCTAAGAACTTCTTCAGGGTACAGTCTTTGAGCTAAGGGCAAAATCATACATCTTCCGTCAAACTCAAGATGGGTAGAGATGAATCGCCAAAGTCCCCTCCATCTCTTTGAAAGGACACTGGTCCTTGCAATTTCGTCGATTGAAAGAAGAGAAATGATAAGGCACAAGATTTCATCTGGAAGCTGGCTTATGTAGTCACGCCTTTCATCAGCAGCGGCGAGCTTGGCCTTGGTTCTTGATCTGGTCATAATCATTTTGGTGGGCTGATGAAGTTTGTTCAGAAATTCGGGGTTTGGAAGTGAAAGGAGAGCTTTGGGAGTGGAGGTGTGAGAGGAAGAAGAAAGAGGAGTTTGACTATATAACGCAATTAACTTGTCCGTTATCTTTCTGCATGAATGACACGAGGGTTGCGTCCAGACAGAAGCAAGTTGTCTGTCCTAATACCCTTAATTTCTGGTTTTGGTAATTGGTTTAAAATTTTGAGTTAATGGCTTTCTTTTAACTGTGATCAGAAAACATTTTTCTTAAAACCATTTTTCTGTTACTTCCATACATGAATGATTTTATTAGCAAATTCATTTAAAAAATAATAAATTCTTCCCTAACACTTCCTTGCAATTTTTGATATAGATCATTATGGGGAAAAAATTTAGGTCAAATTCCTTGTATCAATAACGTCAAGTACTCCAATTATATATAATCATGTGTCCTTTTTTATTTTATATGGATTTATAACTAAATGTTATTAAATGCTAATATTTTAAAAATAGAATACATGGTCATATGTGACGTAGAAGAACTTGACATAATAGATATAAAAAATTTGATGTAAGTATTATCTTGTCATTATTTTACCATATTCTCTAGAACTAAGTGTACATTTATTCTGATTAATTAAGATTCATGAATTATTAATTATGATTATACTCTTATAGTTCTATTTATAAGTCACTTCTAACATGTTTTACACAAATAAAGAAAAATCTTAAACTCTATAAGCTCTCATTTAAAATCTAACAACTTTATAACTTTATTTAATACTCTTTCGATCCTAAATATAAGACCTTTATATATATTTTGGATCGGAGGAGTATATATTATACCTCATATAAACAAAGTCAACATAATAATAAATAAAGGGTACAATTGTATATCCATACAAAAATTTCTCTCAATACCTTATAAATAGGACCAGAAAAGTATGTGTGTATTAATGAAGTGGATATACTTGGATTCACTGTCTGGCCTTGTGTTTTCTTAATACCATGTCTGGTTTTGGTCAAAAGCAGTATTCATTGAACATGATTTTTTTCGTCCATAATGTACATGGCTTTTTAATGTATATGCAACGTTTTGAGGATATACCATCATTAATGTATCAGCAATTATATTAAAAGGTCAGTTTGAGAACATTTAATTTTTATTACAACCTTCCTCTTGTTAATATTTTTATATGTTGATGGAACAAGCGTGTATGGTATTAAAATTTAACCGAAGTCAATCATTAGACTACCAATGAATCGAGTAATTAGTACTCCTCTAGTCTTTAATATAAGACACATTTAACTAATTTGATTATATTAAGAAAGTTCGGTAAGTTAGTTAATTATAATAAATGTAACACGTTTTTCCTAAAACACCATAGCCTTCTTTCTTAATACCCCTTCTTCCTCTTTTACTTGATTATAGTTGAGGGAGAATCTATAGGCGTAATTTAGAAAAATTTTATAAATATAATAAATGAGTTTTATATTTAAGACTAAAACCAACTCAACAATTGGGTCCTCTAAGCACCGAGAAGTATCTTAATTGGTTTGGTCACGAGTTTCAAGCAGGTTGACCAATTTAATTATAAAGTCATAAAACGACATTATTCTAAGTTAAGTAATGGTTGGTCAGATTTGTGTTTTAATAATTTTATTTTGTTTGTATTATATGTTATTTATTATAAGGGAATATTTCTATTTACTTATAAATTAATGGCAGCTTTTTTATTTAGATATTATTTATAAATATTTTTATATCCTCTAATTATATTATATTATTTTTAATCATGATTATATTAGTTTTATATGGATTCAACTACATTTTAAACTAATGACTCATTGACAAACTCAATTATTTTTTATATATTTTGGTATCTTTTATATGAGTTTTGTCAGCTTAATTGGTCCCTTTTTGCCTTAATTGATTTAATTTATTTTATTTTGAATTATTATTTTATAGGGGCAAAATTGTCATATTTTGGTTTAATTGTGACTAATTGATTTTTGAGGACAATTAATGCTACCTTATCCTTGCATTTTGCTTGCAGGTTTTTGGAAGAAATAAAAATGAAAATAAAAAAATAAAGAAATATAAAAAAATAAAAAAATAAAAACAAAACAAAAAAAAACAAAAAGAGAGCAAAACGGTGCGCACCTCCTCCCCCAACCTAATATTCAATTAATCTTCTTCTTCATTGGAGACGGGGGACGCCGAAGGAAAAAGAACAAAACAGAGAAGCGGGTGGCGGCACGGAACACACACACGAAACAGGGGTGGCGGCGCTGAAATAGAAACTAACACACACACGACGCCGAATCACCTTCATCCGAAGAGCAAGGCACACGCGAGGCAATAGAAGACGCCGAACGCAACAGAAGACGCTGACGAGCTGGGCGCGGCGGAAGCTGAACACCAGCGAGCACGAGTCGACGACGCCTGCGTTCTTCCATGGGATCCTGTAGCAAAATACTGATTGTGTCATTTCTTATGGCAATCCATGGCTAGAGCTTAATAATTCTCCGATTCAACAATAATGGCAGGAGCTTGGATCTTTAAGGGGGAGTTCTAGTTGCTTTAATTTCTTACTCAATAATTGTTTAACAATTCCTAGGTCTTAGGATAGTTTTTCTGATTGTTGGGATAATTGTATTGCTTAATTTGATTATATTTGTAGATTATTGTGACTGAATTATTGCTTAGTATTTGACATTGGGCTGTTTATAGTTTTGATCTCAATTATAATGTTGTGGTTATGACATCTGTATTGATTTTGGAATTAATATATTGTGATTTTCTAAGGTGGCTTAGAATTTTGGATCATATAGTCTCTTGCTAGCTTTAATTCTGTTATTTTGGATTTAAGAGTTCTAATTAAGCATTGGTTTTTAGCATCCTTAATCCCATTTTACTATTCTGGTTGCAGTTAGTAAGTTGGGATTTTAGGAAAATATTTTGTGGCAACTCGAGGTGGCTCGGTTGTTGGATTAAAAGCTTAATTATAATTCTTAATTCATTGTTTTTAACTCCCACATCTTTTAGAGTGATGATTGCATGCGTTGTTGAATTGGAGGATTGATTTTTATCAGTGTTATTTGTGTGTCTCATTTTCATTTCTTTAATCTCCATTCATTTTAATCGCTTTTATATAAAAACAAAAAAAAAGTATTTTAATTTCAATTTGATTCGTAGTATTTAATTAACAGCTTTTCAAAATCAAAAATCTCTTTTTATAGTTTAGGTTACTTGCATTCATTTACTAGGATTTAATTTCGTTTTCTGCTCCTCAAAGTGAAACGACCCGAGTTTTGCACTATATTGCATTAATTCGGTTAATTTTTGAAGTAACCCCAAAGCGACAATTAAGGGAAGTTTAACTTCACTCATAAACAATAATTGGTTGACAGATTTAATTACCTGTCCAATAATTCCAGTAAAATTGCGTTTTTAATGGTGTAAGTGCCCGTTTGGATAAGCAGTGAACAACTGTGATTTTAGATAATCGTGAATTTTGTAAATGACACTGGTTATAAGTAACAACAGTTAATCGTGATTTCTGTTTGGATTTTTTTTGGTAAGTAATTTTAAGAATTGTGATTATATTTGGTTTTCATTTATTATTGCTTATGGACGTATAATTACTAAAAGGAACATAAAGTTAATATTTGAGGAGAGATTTTTGGAAGAGTATGGGAGGATAGACTGGAAAAAATTTAGTTGCTGAAAATTGATCGGGATTTTCCAAACACATAAGCTACTTCTTATCGTTTATCCTAAAAGTGTGGTCAAAGGATAAAATCACGATTTATCAGGATTTTATAAAAATTATCCAAACAAGACAAACATACTTTATAATCACTTATTTGTATTTAAACAGATTTATTTGAAATCCTACCACTTAACCAAACAGGCTCTAACCAATGCAGAACCATTTCATGAGGGGGACGGCTCGCCCAGCCCAACATTGGTATGACCTAGGATGAAGGGAGATTTCGCCCTGCCCTTGGATCGTGGGTGAGCTCAACCCCTTTCCAAAAATTTAAATATAAAAAAAAAAAACCATTTCACGAGGGGGAAGTGTGGATTTTGAGGTGAGCAACGTCACTCCAAGCACATCTCAAAATGAGAAAATGTTTTATTAAATATAAATAAATAATCATGCCTGTGGTCAATTCCCCATTATTCATTTTTCTTCAAAAGAAAAAGAGCTTAAAATGTCGGCTAGTAATGACAATTTACGTACCGACCATCGTAAAGAAACATTACGACGTAAACATGAACGCGTTTAAAAGGTCGTGAATGATAAAGTAATATTATAAATAAAGCTTTATAATTAGCATCGAAGATAGTATTATAATAAGTAAGACTTTTTAGGTTAATTTGTGGAGGATAATATATAAAAACACAGTGGTATATCTTAAATTTCTGTTGACATATATAACAATGTACATAGATGACACTTCCGTCGTTCACTTATATGTAACTAATAAAACTTTCCTAATAAACTACGCACCACAATATGAAATATAAAATCCTATAGTTTATGCAGAATAATATGAACCCCATGTCGTGGCTGAATGGTGAGATTGTAGTGAGGGGCATGAGAATATGTTGGGGAGAGCTCAAAGCAGAAGCGCTGGAGTATGAGTGATAAGACCATCTTAGCCTCTAATAAGGCAAAGTTTAATCCAATGCAAATCCGAGGACCCCATCCAAACGGGAAAAATGCAGCGGAGGAAGCACCTTTCCCTGCCTTTGAAATTCCTTCGGAAAATCTCTCTGGTTTGAACTCACCAGCGTCATCACCCCAAATTCCTTTGTCATGGTGAAGCATAAGAATTGGTAGCAGAACTTGCACCCCAGCTGGTACTAACAAATTCCCAAGTTTCATGTCCCTTTTAGGACACCGTGTCAACCATCCTGCCGGCGGGTATAACCTCAAAACCTCGTACAAGATCATGGTCAACTGTAGTAGCAAAGTACATGATTCAAAACGCGTCATTTCTTAATATAAAAACTATTTAATTAATTTAAATAGATTAAAAAAAATCAAATAAATCAGTTAATTATAACAAATATAATATAATCTCCCTAAAGCACTTCTGTGTACAACATTAAATTATACATCAGTAGGTAAATTTATTTGGACAAAAATGATAAATATAAGAAATAAAGTGGATTAAAATTTTATATTTATGATAAAATCTGGTCTCCCAACTAGTTTCAATATTAATGACCGGAGCAGAGGAGATATTCTTACAATCTTGAGGCGACTTAACCCATCATGATCTGGAGTTTGGTTGCCAAAGACTCGTAGGACTTCTTCCCTTGCACGTACTTGCCAATCAGGGTACTTACCCAACAGCATCATCGTCCAAGCAAGCATGGACGAAGAGGTTTCTTGGCCTGCAAAATAGAACAACTTGCATTCCTCGATCACATCTTTCATACTCAACCCAACGTTGTTGTTCTTGTTCCCTCGTTCTTTAATATCCTTGTGATTGGATTCTAGAATTATGCCAAGTAGGTCACTCTTATTGGCGGCTTCAGCTAACTTCATAGCTTTCTCCTTCTTCTCAATTATACCCATCAGAGAAGCTTCCAACATTCTATTAATTTCCTTCATCCTCCTTTTCTCCTTAGCGTATACTACACTGCAGATTCATATCATCAGCACCATGAAGCTAAAAAAGGTCTGCTCGAAAGTTGGCTATCGCTTTTTATGTTTACTTCAACCAAAAAAAAAAAAATCTATTTTTATCGTATCATTCTGTGTTCATATCAGTGTTCATTGGTTAGTCCTTGCATAATACGAAGGAAAGTGAGTGGCTCAGCGAGTGGTTATCAGGTTCAACATAAAATATTCTTCCAAGTAGATAGAGTTAGATAGAGTACTGATCTTACCTCCACAGTGGGTTGTGATATCTGATTACATTCTTCATTATAAGATCGCCTAGCTCCGAGAGAAGTTGGAAAATTTTTCTGCCTTCTTCATAGTTGCTTCCAAAAGCTGTACGAGAAATAGCATCCTCTGTGAAATTCTTAAGCCAGGGCCGTACATCCATTTCACATGTTCCATCTGAAGAAGAAGACAACATATCTTCCCATTTCCTTATCATCTCATTGCAGCTTTGGGAAAAGCTTGGCATCAGAGCCTGCGGCAAAATGAGTATCAAAATGAGACACTCTCAACATACAATACTTAATTTTTCTATAATCTGCATGCACAACTTTAATTAAACCACAATTAACAGAGAGATAGTCATTCATTTCAATCAAGAAGAGAATTTAGTAAGGAACCTTCAATTGTTCAGAATGGAATGCAGGATTGATGATCTTTCTATGTTTAGCCCACTTTTCGTCTTCATAGTTTGCAACACCAGTGGCCATATACTTAACAATAGGAATTGCTTCAGGCCTGGGGAAGTCATAGTTCCTGTTAAACGCCTCCTTTACTTGCTCTGGGTCCATCAGAATCACCCTTGGTGTCGTTCCAAACCACATAAATGAATTCTTACCTGCACTATAACTGTTACTAGCTAATTCTTGAAGCAAGCTCAAATAAATATAAACAAGAAAAATGATATATATATATATATATATAGAGAGAGAGAGAGAGAGAGAGATTATCAGACCATATTTGTTGACCAAGTGGTGGACAAAAGGGACGACATAGGGGGGTAGATCGTGGGAATGAGAAGACATGGGTATGGATGTAACTTGTTCTTGCATCTGAACCATTTCCTTCAAATCTCCAAACCATAATCTATAAGGATTGGCTTTAAGGTTTTGTTTTCTGAGTTCCCTTTCCAGCCTCTTAGGGTTCAGCCACACCCTCTTCACCATCTTCCATCCCCATCTTATCACTGTTATTACTGCTGCAGTGGCCACCAATAATAATAATGCTGATACTGAAGCTTCAAACATGTCTAACTCTCTGTGCTTCACGTGTTGAGAGATCGATCTTGGTGATTTGAGGTTTGAAGAGAACAATCTTGAAATGTTATTTTATATATTCGAGCAGCGAAATGCCCTTCCGAATTTTGATAATTTATATGTCAAAAGTCCTAGTCAATTGACATCACTCAAATGTGTTTGTATATGAGAAAGTCATCTGTTTTGCCAAGAAAAAACGTGCGACTATATGTATTTTGGAGTTTTGCTTTTGTCGAATCTTTGGGATAACATCTCATGAAAGGAATCGAAAAGGACTAAAGTTTATATTAATATCCAATCCTTTCTCAGAGTCTACGTATGGATATCATCTACGCTGTGATCAACAATAATTGGGCTAGTTTATTTCATTAATCGGTTAAAAAATTCACAAACTATCGTAAGACACGCAAGGGCGGCAACAATTAACATGCCCCCCTCCCTCACAATATGGTTAAACTGTGGCTCAACTTTTATTTATATATATGTGTGTGTATGTATGTATGTATATGTATATAAAAACATGAACTTTACCATGGTTGATATTCCTCCTATACATTGCACAAATACTCCTAAAATGGCTAAATGCTCCAAGGTCTACCCATCTATTTTGATTGCTTTGTATTACTTCTGGTTCTTAATGTAAAAACTAATTTGACATTCAAATTGGTTATAAATATAAAATTTAATTAATTTTGTATCTCGTATTTGTTCATTTTTTTTAAGTAGTTCTTGTAATAGTCACATGTTAAAGGTTTTATTAAATGGTAGTTTTAGCTAATACATATGATTAGTAAGGATATTCTAGGAGAGACAATACTAAATTATTACAAATAACTAACTTGACAAACTTCTTTAATATACTCAAATCAATCAATTTGCTCTGATATTAAAGGTCAGAAGTAGTATCAAATGTTAAAAAAAAAAAAAGAACTAGTTATAAAAAGGATAGGGCGTGACATATATCTCCCAACAACCCCATTCGCTTTCACTTACCAATCTTCCCCGTTTCTTATAATTTTTTCAAATAATAAATAAATTAGTTGGAGTGGCCTTGCAATCTTTGACCTTTTCTTTTTTTGGATCTGAACACACCTTTACTTAGTTAGCTGTCATTGGATGAAAATGATAGATAGGTTCCTTGTGAAATTTTTTTTTTTTTAAGATAATGATTAATGAATTTTGAATGTGCAACATGACGCCCACGATGAAATTAAACCTTGGGATAATTCAGGTTGAATAATACTACGTAGTAGGCTTGAGACGAAGTTTTGGAAGGGAACCGCTAGCCATTTAATCTATCCCTGCTTAAGAAAAAGGAAATTATTAACACATCATACCAAAAAAAGAATCATGAGTTCAAGGAACTAAAGTATTAATATTCCTTAGTAAGAGGTCGAAATGCCATTATTCCCACTAAAAAGGCGACATAAGTTTTGCTGACATATTTGGTACTGACGAAGGCGTAAAATTTGTCAACAGAAATTCCAATAACATTATAAGAACACTACCAACAAGGTTATGGTCGTCTCATCAAGAAAATACTGTTTTTCCTTTTATCATTTTAAAATATCAAAGGTAAGTAACAAATGAAGTTACTGTAAAGGCATCCTTGCATGTATGACATAATTTCCACTCACAAATTCACAAGTGTTCAAAGGCTAACAGATTAGACACTTGGTTACCCATAACCAAGGGCATTTTTATTATCCACCTACTAAATGGAGCATTACAAAGTCAGAAATTATAATCATACTCATTGTACTGAACACATATTATCACTTAAGAATTAATTATAACTTATTAGCGCCCTGTTTTGGATCTCATGGAGCTCAAGTTCAGCACTGTGTATTTTGAGCTTCAAAACGATGGAAAGTTTTGGGGAAGCATTGCTAAGAGTCAGCAGTCTTTCTTCTTCTATTGGTTGCCTGCATATAATTGTAATTCTCACCAATTTCCTACCCTTTGTTATTATGTGCTTTAAGAATTCAAATTCTTGATTATTTCCTTTGAAACCCCTGAGATACACAAACTTCAACTGGTCATGGACACAATTACAAGCAACCCGAAGATCCCAGTAAATACCTCTATTGGTCATATCATTGTGAACCTGTAAAACAGAAAAAATTGTAATTAGCAAGGTGCGTGTCTATTGGCGAGGGCATAACTATTTCTATTTGAAAGCGCTAGTTTGAACTCTTTCTTTTTTATTTTGAATTTTACACACACACACACACGCCTACTTTTTCCACAGGAAAGAAAACTTATACATAGTACTCCATGACCTTCCCAGACTTTGCACTCACCATAACCTCTCCCATTCTTGAGCTGCTTTTGGTGCCATTGAGGCATTAAGGCTTTGGCAAATTCTATATGTCAAATCTGACTGGTCCCTAGCTTGTTTGACCTTGCAAATAGTAAATGACTACCCTGATTCCTGAAAGTCTCTTTCTTCCTCCCCACAATACATACCTTCCTTAAAATTCAGGAATCGAACCCATGCCTGGATAATTCTAACAACATTACAGTTGTTGGATTGAGTCTTTTCTCAGGGCATAACTTTCTCTGGTTAATTGACCCAATTCAAATGATGTATATAAAATAGTGCTTTCAGAGAGACATTAGAGGACCCTCATGTGTAGTAAAAGCGACCAAGTGTGGACTATATATAATGGAAATTTACATTCAATGAATATGCAATATTAAGTGGCATATATATTGGAAAACAGACTAGCTAGATAGGGTAAATTCATAACCTTACATGTGCAATAATCATAGTTCAACACAACAGAAATTGAGAGCGAGCTAGCTAGTGAAGTTAATTAATGTCACATACCGGTAACGTAATTTCAAGAGTTTCAAGACGGGTGCATAATTTCATGAAGGTTGAAATCAAACGACAATCTTGTACATCATTTAAATCCATGTCAATGGAGAACTTTGACAAACTCAGGAAAAAATTGCTCCTAGAATCCTACAAAGTGAAAATGAAAACACTGTTAATTAGCGCCACCAACAGTATACTTAAAATAGGGACATCACAACACTAATAATTCAAAGAAAACTTACCCAAAAATGACGATAATTACCAAGAAGTTCGGAAGCTTTGAGAACTTGTTTCCCTGCAGACAATGCAAACATTTGTCCAAGCATCGAGTTGCTGTAAGAATGGATAACCCTTAGGCTTGGAGAATAAATTTTCAAACTCCCAGGATAAGCTAGAGAATCAAATAGTAAAACCTCAAGCCTCTCAGCAAAAACAACTATTTCATCAAGTTCTAATACACTCAGTTGCAAGACCTTCAAATTGGGATTATGGATTTGAAGTTTTCCAAACCCATAAGACTCAAGGAGACTAAAATTCTCCAACCCCTGACAGTTCTCCAGAATTCCTTCTAGGGTTTCATCGTCTATGTAAATATTCTTCAGAATCAAGGTTTTGAGATTTTCACATCCCACAAATGGTTCTGGACTACTCAGTGTATAGTGAATCAACTGGAGCGAAAACAAACCTGAGAAAATCCCCGGAGGGAAATCAGGTTTTGATCTCCTCTCAACAGCTTCATAAATGTCAAGAACATTTTCGATTGTTCCCATGTCAAAAAACTCACATTCTAGGCTTAAATTTTTCACTTTTTTAAACTTTGCCAGTTTAACCCAGCACACCACTTCCTCTCGAGCAATACTATATGGAAAATGGATGAATCGACAGCTCGGTAAATCACCAGAGTGACGAATCAAAATGACAGAAATCCTCAGACCATAGCGCGTGAGACCTCGATTCAAGGCCCTACTAAGTTGTGAATAAGGATCCTGTGCTTCTAATGGGTTTTCTCTTTGAGCTAAAGGCATTATCATTCGCTTCCCGTCAATCTCAAGATGGGGAGTGAAACGCCATAATCTCCTCCATCTTTTTGAAAGCACGCTTGTCCTGATAGCTTCGTCTATCGGAAGCTTAGAAATAATGAAGGACAAAGCTTCATCAGGGAGTTGGCTGATGAAATCAGCCTCCTGATGTGCAGCTCTGGCCAGGGATCTCGATCTGATCCTAGTCATTTTTTCTGAAGTGAATAGGGTCTGGAAATTCTGGTTTGATTTTTTTTCCCCAAGAAACTGAGAATGGAGGGTGAAAGGAGGAAGAAGCAGAAGATGAATATAAGTAAATAACTCGACCGTTTCTTGTCTGCATGAATGACACGAGGCTTGCATGTTTAGACAGATAGAAATTGTCTGGCTTTGTACATTTTCCGATTTTGGTAATGGGTTTTAAATTTGAGTTAATGCCTTTCTTTTGAGAGTGAAAAAATGTGGTCTTTTTACCAATAAAAAAATTATTAATCAACACTATTTTGATTTTTAATTTAGGTTAATGTCATTTTTAGTCTTTAAAATTTGATTTCATTTTAATTTCAGTCTCAAAGTAAAATTTAAAACTAGCTGGTTTTGATCTTTGAAATCTTATTTTAAAGAATAAAAACACTATTACAAGAATAAAAATTTTCAAGCGAAGCAAAATGAGCAATAGATAAATGGATGAATCGGACATTCCGCCATTTGGATGCCATGTTCGCATTACTGATTTTCCCATTTTATGTTGGTTTTAAAAAAATATATTTATATTTACCTTCTATTCTTGTATTTATTTAATACTCTACCATGTTTGGATTTTCCAAGAAGTGGTTTTCAATGCATGTGAACTCATAATTAATTGCATTAAAAATTTTAACCCCTTAGTATTTATTTGTTTTTTATTATTATCCAATAAATGTTTTTTTCCTCTTTTGAACCTACCTACTTCCTACTAATATTTCACCCTTTTTTGTAAGAAAAATAAACTAAAGGACCCATAAAAGAGCTTATAGGCAATAGCCATCATTTATATGACTGGTTATAAATTTTTGAAAACAACGCTTATCAGCAACCATTATTTGTCTAGCGCATGCAAGTTAGCACGAGAACGAGGCAGCTAGTTTTTTAAGTGCACCATGAAAAGCTTTTGGCAGTTAATCTTTTAGACGGTAAAAATGTGTTTTTATTTTTTAAAATTTACATAAAATATCACTTTAATAATTTCTTAAAACAATAATATCGGCACAAAAATCATCAACTTTGGGAACGGTATTAGGATCAGAATAAACTTGAAAAACCACTTTATTAAATTAAAAGATCAAACTGAAATACTCCTCCAGTTCTTAATATAAGACCCATTAAACTAATTTGATTATGGTTGAGAGAATATCTATAAGGGTAATTTATAAAAAATTAATAAATATAAAAAATAGATTTTATATTTAGAACCAAAACCAACTCAAGAATTGGGTCATATATTAAGGACCAGAGGAGTATCTTATATAATGTAAGAAGACCAATAATATATTTTTGCCTTTTCCCCACATTATTGGCTTAATTATTAGAGACCAGAGCCATCATATAGATAAGAAGAATCTGAAAAGATTCAACTTAGATAAGTAGAATATTAATCCAAAGGGCATGACACTTAATTTATTGCCAAAAATTGACAAATTCTACATGTCACACTTATATCACCAATTCATGATCCGTCGTGATGCTTTATTTTGTAATTAACTCCAAATTATTACTTGAACAAGCTGCAATTAAAGTTCAATTCGATCATTATATTTTAAAATAATGAAACGCGTTAATAATTGCTCAACTTCAAACTAACGTTTAGTTAATCTCTGACTCCTATGGCATTAATTAGGATTTAGATTCTTCGTGGTCAAATATGTAACCTCTTCTGTTTTGTATTGCCCTTCCTCATGAAAAACGATTTTACGTACAATATTTTTTTAGTTTGTTTAATTTTATATTATATTATATTAGGAAAAATTATTATTCCTTTTCTCCCTTATTATAAGAAACAACTATCAAAATTACACTATTTAAAATAATAGACGTGTAAGATGCACACATATTTCTTTTGTTAAAAAAAAAATGCCCACATATCTTTCCAATTTTACAATTATTTGTAGGAGAGTAAATGAGAGATAATGAGTAAAAACTTATTGTAGAGAGATAATAAATGACTTATATTTCATAGGGGTAAAAATAAAAAAAATTAGTTTGGAATTTTAGACAAAAAAATATTTTTTTCCTTATACTTGGGGATAGAAACATCATCATGAGAAAGATTCTCTTATAAAAGGGGCAAATAGAGTACATGGTTAAAAAAAAATATAATTGATCAAAAAACTCATAACAAGTTAACAACAAATAATAATGAGAAATAACTATGAAGTCTATAATGTTCTCTTATGATTTTTTTTTATAATTAAATTTTTTCCATGAGATCTTAAGATAATTTCTGCATTAAATTATCAATAAATAAAGAGGTCAAAAGGCCAGAAAAACAGAGAGGACTGCTGATGTAGCCAACGCAACTAAGTTCGAAACAGGGTACTCTGTCTCTGCCTCAAATGGGTTTTAACAATTGAAGCTATACAGCTCAGATTGAGAACGAAACTGAACTCATTCTTATCATCATCCCAAATCTCCGCCATGGTGAGGCCAAAAAGTATTGGTATGAGAACCTGCATGCCCACTGGTACTATCAAATTTCCAAGTTTCATGGGTCAAGAAGGTCATTTTTCGTGGTTTTACCTGCCTTCATGGCTTTCTCCTTCTAAATTATACCCTTCACTGAAACTTCCACCGTACTACCAATTTCCTTCATCCTCCTGTCGTCCTTAAGCGTATATAAGCCTGCAGAACGATTTGATTGGTACTTATATATAGGTATTCCAAAAGTGAAAATGGCTTGTGGGAATGACTTAGATATGATTTGATACATAGAATTTGTATCAATCATATGTGTCCTTGGGGCATGTTATTTGCTCCGCATCCATCAGAATCAATCTTGGTGTCTGTCCCAAGCCATTTATAAAACTAGCTGCTTTTATCCAAGCTGAATAATTATCTTTTTAATATGGATTAGAGTGCTGACAGTGCATTGCACAGTTTTGGAATATTTCATGTCCGAGAATAAAATTCCATCATTACTTTCGCCGTAAGATTCCTTGCCGGCCCCCTTCTTTCTTTTCTTTTTTCCCCCTCCGTCTCTAATTCTCTGCATTTCTCTCATACGTCAGTTATCCAATTAAATGGATGAAAGGTTCGTGTGAATTTTAAATATGTATATAAAATTTCATTTACACATTATCGGGTATATAAAATCTTACTGACAGTATATTTTAGAATAAATTGCTGGTGTACGCTGATAATATTGGGCTCACAGGGGACAAAGAATCTGAAATGAAGGCCTTGACTTGCCCATGGCATCTTCCTTTTCAGATGATCTTGCAGGTTTCAGTAAATTCCTAGCACAAATTTGTAGCCCTTGAAGCCAATCCTTTCCTCCATGCCAAAACCAAGCATATAGAGCTTGACTTGCATATTAATCATAAGCGAGAAAATATCAACAGCTGGTACATAGTGGGATAACCAGGTGGCGTTGGCAAAACAAAAAAAACAAAAAACGACAAAAAAGGGAGGAAAACCAGGTCCCAACTTCAGACCAGGGATAACGTGTCATGATCCCAAAAGAAGTGGGCTCAGAAAATGACCCAAAAAGGAGGAGATGGAAAACGTGAATATTCTGAGACTTGGGAGACAGTATAATAGGGACAAAATTGGTTATGGGAGGGGTGTGGATGATTTTGGATGATCTTCTCTCTCTGGTCCCACTCCTGGGAATCCTCTCTCCCTCTGCCTCTAGTCTCTTACCCTCTCCTCTGTATCTTTTCTCTGTTTCTATCGGTGTGTTTACAGTACTATTCGAATGTATTCTCATATGCCTTTGGTTATAACTGGATTGAATATTTAATACATGTTGATGATTCCATTGTGTTGAGGTATTTTGAAATTTAGATTATTACAAATGGTGCTTTCATTGAGAGTGACTCCCTCCATATTAGCCGGCAAGTCTGATGAACAGGACCGGCCTGAAGCTGCAATCAAGAAAGGGACTGTTATGACGGAGCAAGTATCGGACAGTTTTTCTAAGATTATTACGAAGATGGATCGTATTATTTCGAAACTGGAATGGTTAAATTCTAAACTTAACGGTACCATTGAATCTGATGAGGATGATTCTATTGTTCAAAATGAAGCTAACAGTGTTGCCATGAAGGATTTCTCTCGCTTGGATCGAATTGAAGCGGTGTTGAAACGGAGGGGATTAATCAATGATCTTCCACCCTCTCAGAGTCCAAGCTCTACAGTGCACTCATTGCCAACCCACGAATCCTCTTTACAACCAGAAATGAAGCCTTCGCAGAGTTCTCTCTCCCAAGCATCTGATATTCATCAGTCTTCCCTGTGTCCCGATAAGGTTGAAGTTCTATGGTCAACAAACTATGAACCTAATCCTGAACAAAGTGATGAGATAGACCATCACATGATGGCTACCGACGATCCGGCAATTACTAACCCTATCAACTTCGACGTTATGAGCTTCGATACAACTTACCAGGTCGCTCGAATCCAGGCAATCTCCAGAGAGAATGAAGAGAGCCTTCTGATTCCTGTATTTTATTACTTACAGGCAGCGCACAACTTTAATGACTGGGCCCAACCCTCCATATTCTTTAGCTACCCTATTAATGCAATCAGCCTTCTCCATCTGCAAGCAGTTGTCGGACAAGAGAACAATCCACTTGGGGAGCTCTTGCCTCCGATAGCAATACTCACGGAGGAAGCGTCTCTCATTGCTTTGATCAACAGGTTGACGCGCACAAGGATGTTTGATCCTGGTATAGGATACTACACACAAACTACGCTCCAATCAGATGTGCACAATGGTTTCCATTGGAGTTCATTATCAGAGGTCAAATGCAAGATTACTACTCCGTGGCCACATGTCCTTTCCTGTGTTGGGACATGTTTTTCAGAGATAAGAATAACGAAAGTAAGCTCGACCCAGTGTTTGAGTCTCTTTAATATCACTAATAATGGTAATCTCAATAACCATATTTTTGATGGTGAATTGGACGTGCTTAGGAGCCAATAGATTAATGATTTCCATAATTATAATCATGTGGGGGTGGACATAAACTCGTTTACTTGGTTGTCTCTGCATGCTGCGGGTTCTTGGGCTATATATGGCATTTTGGGTGGGATGTATATGGAATTCTACGGGGCAACAGGGCAAGCAGTGGGGAACCATCAAATTTTGAGTTGGAGCTTAAGTAATTCGGATTTCTCAATTGGTGATGCTTTGGTGACTACAAATTTGCCTTCATCTTTATTTCTTAAGGGATCAGTTATAAGGTCAAAAGATTTTAGCATAGGAGTCAATATGGATGTCTTGTTTATCAGTGGCAGTGCTAGTGTAATGTTTGCATGTTTTCTTATATGGAAAACTAACGAGAGAGATGAGGAAGATACTAAATATCAAGAATTATTAGAATACCGTCCACACCAAATATGGCATGGGCATATTTCTGTTGCCATTGAAGAATTCCCAAACCCAAAGGTAATGGGGTTTGGAGGGCAGGGAAAATTTTATAGAGAGGGTTTACAAGATGTGATGAAAACTGCAGAAAAACAAATCCCTTATGACAGTGGTACGAAGGGAATGAGGGAATTTTTGTCTGGAAATTCAGTGACAAATTTTTTTGTAAAGCAGTTCGGCAAAATGGTTGTCGTTCATGTTGCTCTAGTTGATGTTAGTTATCATCAAGTATTTGATGTTGAGAATATTGAGAGGATCAGAAACAGACTTGGAGAGCTAGAGATCAGATTTGGTTTGGAACCAATTGTAGTGGCAGAGAAGGATTATCATGGTACTGATCTCCCAGGTATTCTACTTGGCTGGTCTTTATATTTGGTTTTTATTAGAATACAAGGGGTATTGGAATTTGTTCTGCACCAATATTTGCTGTGTAACGTTGATGGGCTTCTTTGCTATGGAGACATTATAGTGATGAGCCACCCCACATATAGAATGCCTTACTTCCCTTTAAATGGTGGGACATGCTTTATTACTATAGCGTGGGGTATACAAAAAGATTTTCCTTGCAGAATTCCTCGTGCAATTTTGATTATGAGTGCTATTATAACTTCTGGAACTTTTCACGAGGGAGTTAAGTCATGCATTTGCAATCATGTTTCTTGGACCTTTTATGATTATGTTTCTTGGAATAGTTTGGACCCTCCTACGTGGCTTATCCTTACTTGGAGCATGATGAAAAGAGGATATCTTAGGATCATAGATGTGTCCTGCAGTGGGTTCCGCGCCTATGTGTTCTGCAGGATGAGAAATGGGTACCACATATATCTAGATGTTACTGCCCAATTTCCCCATTTGATAGTCATCTCAAGGTGTTCACAATTTCGGTTTATGAAGATTTCTTTAGCCTCTTTTGTTGATCAGTGGTTAAAACATATATTTGTGGACCTTGAGGACAAGGTCCATTTTAATGGGGGAGGTAATGTCATGATCCCAAAAGAAGTGGGCTCAGAAAATGACCCAAAAAGGGAGCCCCAATCACATGTGCAGGCACAGCCAGAGGAGGAGATGGAAAACGTGAATATTCTGAGACTTGGGAGACAGTATAATAGGGACAAAATTGGTTATGGGAGGGGTGTGGATGATTTTGGATGATCTTCTCTCTCTGGTCCCACTCCTGGGAATCCTCTCTCCCTCTGCCTCTAGTCTCTTACCCTCTCCTCTGTATCTTTCCTCTGTTTCTATCAGTGTGTTTACAGTACTATTTGAATGTATTCTCATATGCCTTTGGTTATAACTGGATTGAATATTTAATACATGTTGATGATTCCATTGTGTTGAGGTATTTTGAAATTTAGATTATTACATAACGTCCTACCATATATACACTCCTCTCATTCATCATCGCACCAAAGCTTTCAACTTACCCAAGGCAATCAAAGGAAACTTTATTTCCCTCCTTTAGTAAATTTGCATCAGAAACGTGATTTTTCAGTAGACAGCAAAATTAAAACTTGCTAACAGAGCCATCTAGAAGCAGCTAACATTGTATAATCTGAATAATAGGATAATCATTCAACGACTATACAGAAAGCATATAAACACATATTCTCATGACCTACATATATAAATAGATAGATACATATGCATAAGGATAAAATTCCTTCTAAGAGTGTAACATGATGGACCTTTTAACCAATAATTCTAGAGCTTCCGTAAAATGACATGGGTGCCATGCTGAGGACGAAGGGTCAAAACCGAAAAAGGAGCATGAGCATAAGATGGAGAAAGCTCAAAAGAGAAGTTTTGGAGAATTAAGGACAAAGCCATTTTTGCTTCAAGCAAAGCAAAATTTTGGCCTGGGCATATCCTTGGACCCCAAGCAAATGGAACATATGAACCTTGGTTCTTGGTTGCTTTAGAGATTCCTTCAGAAAATCTTTGTGGCTTGAACTCCTTCGCATCTTCTCCCCATAATTGAGAATCCTGTTGTATCATAATTACTGGAATCCCAACTCGAGTTCCAACTGGTAATCTCAGATTTCCAAGTTTTGTATCTTTTGCCACGACCCTCGTCAACACAGGAGTTGAAGGGTATAACCTTAGAACCTCATACAATATCATACTTACCTAGTACACAAGCACAAATATCGTTGACTTGTTAATAATAATTTTGAATGAAATGAATCTAAAACATCATATTCATATAATTCTACCAGTTTGAGACGATTTAAGCCATCATAATCAGGTGTTTGATTGCCGAATACTTGGAAGACTTCTTCTCTTGCTCGAGATTGCCAGTTGGGATGCTTGCATAGTAACACAATTGTCCAATTAAGGAGACCAGATATTGTCTCTTGTCCTGCTACGTAGAACAATTTACATTCCTTTATGACATCTTCAATGCTCATTCCCATGTCTTTATTGTCGCCACTGTCTTTGATTTCTCTGCGATTGGATTCCAACAGTATATCTAATAGATCACCACTTGGGGCCTCTCTTGCTTTGCTAGCCTTCTCCCTTTTGTGAATGATTCCTCTCACCAACACTTGTATTTCTTTCTCAATTTCTTTCAATCTCCTGTTCAACTTAGTTGGTACAAATCTAAACAGACAAAAGCAAGATGCAATCAAAGTGAGTATAATAAAACTGTTATTTTTAACATAATTTACTAGGAATTTAAACTTGATAGCAATTTTAATTTTAAGAATTAATTTTTTCAAGCTAATTACCTCCAACCTGGGATGTAAACAGAACGAAGGACCTTGAGGGTAAGAAGAACTTGTTCAGATTGGAGTTGGAATATTTGTTGACCTTCTTCATAACTACTTCCAAAAGCAGTTCGAGAAATAACATCACTAGTCATAGTTTGAAAGAAAGGCGACATGTCCATCTCACAACAGCCACTTTCATTTTCATTGACCAATCTTACACATTTCTTTACCATTTCGTTACAACTCTCATAGAATGCTGGCAACATTAGCTGCCACAAATTTAAGCTTTGAAGTTAGAAAAGAAAAGGGTATAAATCACTCTTAAGAGAGTTTACATGGTATTAAAAAAAAGGGGGGGGGGGGAGGGGGGAGGAAAATATACCTTTAACTTCTCCAAATGAAAGGCGGGATTGATAATTCTTCTGTGTTTCAACCATTTTTCACCATTGTAGCCTATGAGTCCAGTAATTAAAAGTTTAGCGAGTGGATTGCTAGCGACCTTTTCAAATACAGAAATGTTGCTGAAAACCTCCTTTATGTCTTCTGGGTTTGTAATTGTCACCACAGGACTTGGACCAAACCACATAAAAGAATTCTTGCCTGCAATAAAAATATACCAGTAGAGATTCAAGACCACGTGAAGTGATTCTTACTACATATATCAGACATATTAGTATGGGTTCAATTAGTTCAGTGGTGAACAATACGGAGCAGTGCACAAGGCATATAGAAGAGTTTCTCCCTCAAACAAAGTACCAAGAAAATTACGGATGAAAATAAACTGCTTTACATGACAGAAGAAAGAAGCTGGGGACAACATAGGAAGGAGCATACCATAGTTTTGAATCATTTGGTGATGAAAAGGAATGATACGAGGAATGATCTCTTCGTCTAGGTTGATGGGCTTAGATTTGGCTTCTTGAATCATCTGAGCCATCTCCTTCAAGTCTCCGAACCCTAATCTGTAGGAGTTCCCCTTGAGATTCTGCCTTCTGAGACATCTCTCGAGTCGTTTCGGCCTCAGCCACAACCAATTCACCATTCTTCCGATCACTATCACTATCACAAAGATAACTATACCAGCAATAAGAGAACTTGCTACTCTCAGTGACGGAATTTCTGGAGCTTCCATGGCGGCACAGAAAGAGAAGAGAGGTTGGGGTTCAAATGATTAAACGATGAGAATCGCCCAAAGTCGATGGACCTGCGTCATAAAAATGTTATCTTGAAGAACAGAGAAGGTCCTTGGACGACCAATTCTCAGCTTGGGTCCAAGTGTTTGGTCTTCCTTTGGAGTATTATACAAGAGAGGTAGGTAGCAGCGAAATTGGCGGGCCATTTGGTCAGGTGATTGACTTTGATTCTTCATGCTCGCAATATCCCAGTGGACTGCAATTTAAAGCTAGCTTTTTAGGGGGTGTTTGGATGAAATCAAATTATAGTTTGGAGAATAGCTTCTGGAGAATAGATTCTGGAGAGAATAGATTTTGAAAGAATAGCTTTTCTGAAAAAGTGATTCTGATAAAGTGAGAGTGTTTAGGGGTGTGTTTGGATGAAACCAAACCATGGTTTGGAGAATAGCTTCTGAAGAATAGATTCTAAAAAAAATAGATTTTGGGAAGAATAGATTTTGTGAAAAAGTGATTTTGAGAAGTGTGAGTGTTTGGATAGTTGTTATTAGAAGTACTTTTTATATATACAAATTGGCATAAATTAATATGATAATTATAGAAAAAATATATTTTATGATATATTTTAATTTGAAGGAATAAAATTGTTAATAATATATTTTTTATTAACATATATTAATAATATATAAGATAATATAATTAATAAATAATTAATATGTATATATATTTATAAGATATAAGATTAAATATATTTATAAAAAATATGTTTATAAAAAAAATAACAAGATACATATTCTATAGGCTCTCACATTCTCTCCTTTTTCCTCCAAAAGTAAAAAATTTCTGCTTTTCTCAAAACCATGGTTTTAAACCCAAACCATGGTTTTGATTTTTTTAAGGGTGTTTGGCTAACATTTTTCCCAAACCATGGTTTGGGTCCCAAAACCATGGTTTGAGGTGCTTGCCAAACACACCCCAAGTAAAAAACAGAGAAGATCCCAATTTAACTGGATTTGTATTTCTCCTGTTTGTGGGTCAACTCAACGGATTAAATTGTTCCTCTTTTTCTTTTCCCCCCGTCTTTTATCTTTATTTCCGTGGTTCTCTCCCTCGGACCGTTTGTCCCCGTTTTCCAACCCGCAATTGATTCAAGTAAATGTTGATTAACGTGTGGTGGAGACCAGTTGGTCCAATTCTACGGCACTGATCCATGTAATCCAACAAGCTGCTTCTCGGATTAAGGAAAAATAATTAGCCTTGCTCCAGGAAGAGAGAACTACTTCAGTTATGTAGTTCGTGCTTCTTCAATCATATTTATCATCAAAACTTAGCGCGCTACTTATATAAACCTCTGTTTTTGAGATACAAAACAGAGGTAAATCTCTATTCATATGTAAATACCTATATAAACCTCTGTTGTTAGACCAGCGACGTATCTTACTTTATGGTTCTTAGACGCTAAATGAGTTGTCTGGAATATCTTGCTGAATAATTTTATTTAGTATTCTTTTTGACCTTGTTCTATTTTTTTTCATAGGATTCAATCTAAGTTATCAATCATAATTGACTAAGTTATAAGTAATTTATTATAATATTTATTTTTAAATTCATGTACTTTCAATTTATCATTATTGCCAGGACCTCATCATTGGAAAGGGGATGTTGAAAAGGTATAAGAAAAAAAATCTGATTAGGTCAAGACAAAATAAAATATACACACACACACATATGTTCAAAATCCTCACTCCGTTGGCTCAATTTCTTTTGACCATGACTCCGATGATTCAATTAAACTATCAGTGTGCTAATAACATATCGGTGCTAGTTGTGTTATTAAAGCTTGAATAATCTAACCTTTATGTGCACAAAAAATTAAAAAATACTACCTTCAGTCCAAACGAGGTCTTATGATTAAATCAAAAGTAGTAATTACTAACTGAACCAATTAAAGGCATGTAATACTATATGATTTGAATATTAGGATAACCATTACAGGAGACATACATGCATATTTTCATCACTTTTTCTTTTGGCCGGCGGCATATCATCACTTACTCACATACATACATATATGTATACATATTAAATGCACATTTAGCAGTACAAGGTTTATTATATTGAGATTATTGTTGTACAGATACACATACATATTCATAGAAGTCTCTTGTGAAGAGTGTAAATGATAAACCTTTAACTAATTATTCTGGAGCTTACGTAAAATGATATGGGTGCCATGCTGAGGGTGAAGGGTCATTACTAAGTAAGGGGCATGAGCATAAGATGGAGAAAGCTTAAAAGAGAAATTTTGAAGAATCAAGGACAAAGCCATTTTAGCTTCATGCAATGCAAAATTTTGAGCGGGGCATATCTTCGGACTCAAAGTAAATGGAAAATATGAGGCTTGGCTATGGGTTGCTTTAGAGATTCCTTTAGAGAATCCCTGTGGATTGAATTCCTTTACATCTTATCTCCATATAATTCAGTATCCTGTTGTACCATAATTATTCAAATGGCAACTTGAGTTCTAGTTGGTAAGCTCATATTTCCAAGTCTTGGATCATTTGATACGACTCTAGCCAACAAAAGAGTTAGAGGGTACTATCTCCGGTCTTATTTATAAAACTTTGTTTGTAGACTATAAATGAGATTTTATAACTAGAACCAGAGGTAAATCTAAGAACCTCATACAATATCATACTTACCTATTACACAAACAACTATTATTCTTGCATAATCAAGTATGAGAAAAATATTAACGATACTTTGAAATGACATAGAATCAATAAAAGAAATAAAGCAATAATAAAACTTCATATTCATATAGGCTTACCAATTTGAGACGATTTAAACCATCATAATTAGGTGTTCGAGTGCCAAATACTCAGAAACCTTCTTCTCTTGCTTTTGATTACCAATTGGAATACTTACAAAGTAATACCACTGTCCAATTAAGGAGAACAGAAGTTGTCTCGTGTCCAGCAAAATAAAACAATTTACATTCCTTTATGACCTCTTCAATGCTCATTCCCATGTTCTTGTTGTTGCCATTAATTGTCGTTGATTTCTCTGTGATTTGATTCCAAAAGTATATTTAATAGATCATCAATTGGGGCCTCTCCTGCTTCGCTGGCCTTCTCTCTTTTGTGAATGATTCATCTCACCAGTGCTTGAATTTCTTTCAACATCCTATTCAACTTAGTTAGTACAAATCTACACATACAAATATAAGTGGGGTAAAATCAATTAAGTAAGCATATGACTATTTTTTTTAATATAATTTATTAGGAATTTAAACCCAATATGACTTTAAAAATTAATAATGATTTTCCCAAGGTAATAATCACCTCCAGCCTGGGATGTAAATAGAATGAACGACTTTGAGAGTAAGAAGAACTTGTTCAGATTGGAATTGGAATATTTGTTGGCCTACTTCATAACTATTTCCACAAGCAGTTCGAGAAATAACATTACTAGTCATAGTTTGACAGAAAAACCACACATCCATCTCACAACAACTCGTTTTCATTTTCATTCACTAGTCTCACCCACAACTCTCATAGAATGCTAGTAACATTAGCTGCCACAAAATTAAGCTTTGAAATTAGGGAAAAAAAAAGAAGGAATAAATGACTCTTAACAGAATTAACACATGGAAAAGTGAAAGAAAGTCTACCTTTAACTTTCTAAATAAAAGGCAGGGTTGATAATTCTTCTGTGTTTAACCCATTTTTCGCCATTGTAGTCAAATACTCCAGTAATGAGAAATTTAGCCAGTGGATTGTAAGTGGGCTTTTCAAGTACAGAAAGGTTGTTGAAAACCTCCTTTATGTCTTCTGTGTTTGCAAGTGTCACCGTTGGATGTGGACCGAACCGCATAAAGAAATTCTTACCTGCAGTAAAAATAAATCAATGCAGATTCGATCAAAACCACAAAGAGTTATGTGAATCTTTTATTTTTGGGAGTCGAACCGCATATCACTAAAACATCATATGCCATATTTTTGAATCATTTGGTGTTGAAAAGGAAGAACACCAGGAGCAATATCATCATCTAGGGTTGTGGGCTTTGAGTTTGCTTCTTAAATCATATGAAGCATCTCCTTAAAGTCTCCAAACCCAGTCAGTCTGTATGAGTTTCCTTTGAGGTTCTGTCGTCCTAAGGCATCTCTCAAGTCGTTTAGGTCTCAGCCACAAACAATTCACCACTCTTCCTATCCCCATCAGTATCACTATCATCATATCATAACTATAGCAGCAATAATAGAATTTGCTACACTTAGAGAAGCCATTGCTGGGGCTTCCATGGCTGCACAGGAAGAGATCAGAGTTGGGGTCTCAGATTCCATCACTAATTCCGTAGCTAAATTTAGTAACAGAATTTTTATCGGTAGTCTGTCAGAAATTAGCAATGAAATAATTTCCGTCGTTAATTCTATCGGTAATTAGCTGTTTTTTTGTAGTGTATCAAACAGAGTGTGATTTTTAAACTTTGAAAGGTGAGGGAGGCTATATGTAAGAGAGCTAAAGTTGAGGGGAGTTATTTGTATTTGGGGCTTAAATAAATGATATAGATAGCGTCACCTTAGCCAGGTTCCCCCGTCATTTCAAGTAGAAACTAGTAAGAACGAAGCAAAATGGAACATGTGGCAAGTTGGTACACACAAACACACACAGAATTGAATATTATTAGGGTGAAGTTTCTTCTTACCTTTGGGGTTGGTGGCCAAGACTTATTTCTAGTGATCAAAGAATCGGATTGCTGATCCAAAAAGAATCAGATCGAAGGGTCCTAGTAAGTAGTAACAGCTCGGTTTGGACAATTTGGCCCCATAAATCCGCCGACCGCCTGCGGCTTTCGTCCTCATAAAATTTGTCCTAAAAAGTCAGATACACTGGGAGGTCATCGACTTTAATATATGATTACTAAATCCGATCCCAAATATAAGACCTCCTTGAGATTCAATTTGATCATAAATATAAAACCCCAATCTACTTTGTCTGTCATGTTTTATTTTTCCAAATTACTATCTCTAGTCCTATTTATAAGACCTCGTTTGTGGACTATCAAAAGGTCTTATAATTAGGATTGGAAGTAATAGTTCTTATGGTAATTCTACTTGT